CGTCCATTGTACCGCAATGTTTCTATAGCAGAGGCTATGCCAAACTCAAAGTCATATACACGCCATAAATCCCGCAAATCCAGCGAACTCTTAGTATGCTTTCAGGTGCGTACAAACCCACCACACTGCTTCTTCCTGGTTTACTACACTCGCGTCTAAAAAGGTCCCTGCGATCGGTTTTGAAATATTACACATCAGCATTAGTTTTCACAATCCCTAGACAACTTCCTTACTTGTGAGGCCGCAGCCGCCCCACTTAATACATAACTAACCACATCTGAGTTTGGCGAAGGTATATTTAGTGGATGATAATTAATGAAAACAATAATTTAAAAATAAGTCACCCTCTGACCGTACCTTGTTGCCTCTTTGACTTGCATGGAGCAACTTATACCATGTGCCTACCAGCTAGGTCACCGCCCTGGACTACTCTATCCTCTCTGTTCAATGAGCAAAGCCTCGTCTTGCCTAGCTCAAGCCAACACAGAACAAGCAAAGGTCAGAGTTCTTTGTACCTGACAACGGATTATATATCCCGTAACTATTTCAGCACACGCAAACAACACTGCAGTACGCCACTGTTTGACTCGATAGCCCGCGCTCCGTCATCGTTAAGCCGTGGTTCATACACTCTGGCCATCTCCGTTCTGTCACCATTGTCCCAAAGGTAGTTTCCGCCTTATTTTCGTCCGAAGCCGTGGTCATACACTCTGGCCATCTCCGTTCTGTCCCCATTGTCCCAAAGGTAGTTTCCGCCTTATTTTCGTCCGCGACCTGCCTTTTCCAGTGACTGATTTTTGTTCATAATAATAATGATAATGTATATTCCCAACTTGTGGGTGGCATACCGTCCTGGCTTTCTTCCGACCGGCAAAATATCTGGTAGCTGGAGTTCTTTATTAATGCACAAGCTGCAGTTATGACCGCTTGGCGGCATGTCACCTTGCAGATCTGGTAGCATGCACGAGAGATGAAAACCTCGTGTGGTGGCCATATATGCCGCAGGGAGGATCGCCCTGTTGCGTCGCACCAGGATGCGTTCTTGTATCCGCCACCTCCCAGTAGAGCGGGTGCTCCACCCACCGCAGGTGGTTCTGAGAGCGGCCTTTAATTCAGGAAATCAATAAAGGCGTACTGTTGTTATCTGTTTGTTGCTTCTTGGCTGGACTCGTCCCAGTTATGTCATTTAATTGGCAAAGCCGTAGCCACGGACGATGAAAAAATGAAAAAAAATAGAAACTGGCCTCCCATCTACTGAAACAAGAAATTCGTAAAATAGACTTAGGTGGAATAGCCTGGAGACTCTGTGATTCCCATGACTTACATCAACGTGCGGAGCTTCATCTGCCACTGTCGTAATTGTGATTGTACCGCACGAAATCCCACTTAGTCATCTAAGCAAAACACGTAAACCCACCTATTACCTACCGCTCCCAGTTAGGTAGGAACCTAAATATATATGTACACATAGGTTCCCAACCCTCCGCTAACAGCATGCGAATCTAGTGCCCAAAGGCATTTAATTCGCCATGCATCACTTGTTAACGTGAAGCTGATAGCAGTGTTTCGGGGACCGGTGTGTTTTCCTTACACTTAAATTCTCCCTGGTACTGTCCAACTCATGTAATAAGTACCAGAATAAATAGGCCATCATCTTGGAGGTTCGCCCCCATCAGTCATTATGCAGTTGATTTCCTTAAACACACTACCAATCTGCGTGCGTATATCGGGTAGCACCAGATCCCTTGTACCTTATTATCGTGTTAAAAAACCCGACCATTGTTCTATGGTCTACTAACTACAAATCCACCCTGTCCTATCTCATACAATCACTTGATGTCATCACCCTAATCAGTATAATCACATTGTTCTTTCCGTGTAAATTAATGCACATTATCTCATTTGACGTCTCTTCAAACTCACCATGCTTCACTTATCTCATCCTATCCCTTCATCTTCCAAAGCTTAGAGCTTCAGTGACGCCCGGTTTGGATGACCTAGCTAACTGCTATCCACTCCACCTGGCCTATGATCTACATCCACATGACCCTCAAACGGACCGAAAGTCCTGCGATCCTATATCGGCTTCGTTCCACCTTATTTGCTAGACCAGCCTGAAATAAATCCTGCTTCTCAAATAATCGCGTATCCTAGCCCGGTGGCCTTAAATGTGAAGTCCGTTACGGTGTTGCCCAAAGAACGAAGTATGTCAGGCCACTGATGCACGGCAAAGCCATGCCCAGTTTAGTAGCACGATCGCAACCATGCCATTCCTTCTGTCGTCCGTATCTTCTCGCCCAATTCTTCTATTAACTGCAAAAATACAAACAAGCTGCCCATCTGACCCCAGCTGCCTCCATGGCACGTTCATTTCAATTTGATGATTTTCTCGTTCAAGTTCAACCATATTTTTGTGTCTGTGCTTCCTGCAGAATTTAATAACTTTCTGTACAGTTCGTGTTCCGGCTCGTGTGTTGCCATAGTCTCAATCACTGAAGGAACTATTATGCCCGACTCCCCCCAACGACACCGGTGAGCCTCTACAGCATCACTGTACACTGTTTCTGAGATTCCTGTTACCACTTATCCGCTTTGCTAATCCCTTCACTTCATCATTCCCACTTACGCTTTTTGTTACCCTGGCCAAGAGCCCAACAGTCCAAGGCCAAGAGGTTTCAGCGATGGTTTATATTCTAGGTCAATATGACCAAATAGATAGCGCCAACTGTGCTGTTTCACTAGATCTGATGTTCTGGTTCCTCATTTTCCACCGTTACGCATTTCTTGTCATGTGTCAGACAGGAAGCCTTTTGTTTTTCCCTATCTTGTTTTGTATTTTGCCCGCCACCTTCAGTCCTGACGAAACCGATATTGCTCGAAATTCTTCCCGAAACTGTGTTTCATTGCCCGTGCCAGTTTAGTCGTGACCACGCCTACAACGGATGATGCCCGTCCTCCATAACGCTGTCCATTCAAAAGCCCACACTGTACCCACGATCCCCGCCAATCATACCCTCATTCTGACTGTAAAAGTATAATCATGATCAGCGGTATGCCATCCACAAGTTGGGAATAACATCATTATTGTTATCTTCAATCCACTAACAAACAACCGGGTACTGTGCTCAGCTTTGCAGATGATATCGAGATCCATTTCGCGTTGCAGTGTGACAATGCGTGGCTTCTTCCGAAACGCCTGGACAATCTGGAGACCTGGTGGAAAAGTGAGGCCTATTCATGATTACTGACAGACACATCCATCCAATATGTTAGCAGTGAGTTCAGCAAGAAGCCACCGTTTTGGGAGATTACTAGGCCTGCCACTATACCAACGGCTATTTGGTGTGAAGGTGGCAGACACGTTCAAAACAAAAATGCACAAAAAAACAGGGCCTCTTGGCCCAGAAGTTCGGTAAACTGTACATGTATTTGCTTTAGCAAGCTTTCGGAGGCTTCCAAAATCATCTGTTCTGGACAATTACAGTGCGTCAAAAATAAGAAGAATTACGTCAAGTTGGGAGAATGAGAAAACGAATGTAGAGCCCCTGGTCATAGCATCGCAGTTCTTCACCCTAAAGAGAGGTAAAATGATTGAATTACGTCGATGTAGTGATGGAGCTTGTCATGCAGATTAGTATAACCAAATGGACTAGAAATTCAGAATTCTGTGTGGCGTAACAACCAGCACTTATGTATTCAAATTTATATTTGTGTACAGAACTTGGGATGTTAAAACAAAAGAATAGTGAATAGAGCAATGAAAGGAGCACGACTCGTCGCAGGAAAGTATAGGGAAATAATTCAGGTCACATCTAAAGATGCTCCGAAAGAAAGGCGTACGACGAGAGAATAATCCCACTTCTGGGGTGTCAGAAAGTTTGAAACTTCCCTCGGCTATCAGATCGTATTCAGAGGTTTGCGGTCGCCTTGTATTTTTAGCGGCACATTAGATGCACATTTATTCGACATGAGGTCTAGAGCTGGGAAATCTCAGGCAAGAATAAGCAGGCATTTCAAATGTTCCCCACCAACTGAATACAGGGTACCCGAAGATGACGGAAAGTCAGCAGAATAGGGAAAATTGGGGAGAAGGAATGTCCAAAGGTGAAAGAAAGGGTGTTGAAGGGCGAAGTGAGTGCAACCTAAGCGAAATGGTATCACTTCTGTCGCAGTTCGATGGCGCATCTGCGTTGCAGACAGGAAGCTGGCCGAGCTTCCGGCTATGCGACCTAGCAATTCTCTGCGATCAGCATTTTCACATTGCATACTGTTCGCGGCGTTCCCAGTCGAAAGAAACTGCGTTTTTCGTGTTGTGTCCTGGGGCACAACTGTGTTGCTGCTTTTGTTTATCATCTGTTTCAAATCAATTGATAACCGCCGGCGACCGTCCCCTTTTTTACGAAGCACAAAATAGCAGAATCTACCCACAGTTGTCGACTGATTGGTTGCATTTCTCTGCTTCGTCACCCCCTATCTAAAACATATGGAGTGCTCTGCTGCAGTTGCTTCGGCTGGTTGGGCCACAGCTTAAACCATGCGTCCTTACTAATTATATATTCACGCTAAATGTGTTTATCTGGGCTTCACTAAACCGGCTCTATTTCCCGTCTACTGGTCGGATCTCTTCCGTCACACAGTGAGGAACTGTATTAGGCGACCACCCATTGTTGAGGGATACTTGATCTCCTAACGGGTAACCGAAAAGAAGCGGACACTAGCACGGTTGTCTCAGTTACCCCCGGCACACATGTGACACGTATCGGAGATAAAACGTAAATTGCTTTCTGCAGCGTAGAAACCCACAAAATACTGCAGCACAAAAGTTACACATAATAAAACATAACATAAACCACTAACAGCTGTGACTATCTCAGCGTTGATCATCTGTAGCTATTAAACGCGCTATCAATGCACTAATGCGTGTGGCATGGACTGTCTATGAGGTGTGTTTTAACACATCAATGACTGAAACACAAATTCACTCCATGGATCTGTGACGCCTGCTCATGTTCACAAAAAACGTGAAAAAGTCGAGCTTTCAACCTGATGGTCAAGCGAACGGACATAGGGCAGAAAGCTTGACAAAGGAGGAACAGAAACAAAGTTTTGTGGAAAATAAGACCATCAAGCCATCAGACGTTTTACATTTAAAACAGCCGACAGAAGGTATTTACCAATTTTTTATTTGAGCGGTTTAGGATATTTATGCCCAACAAACAAGAACGATTATGATATCCAGTTTTTAAGTTTTTGTTTACGCGATTTGGACTCCAATTCGACACTTTTTTCGGTGAGCAGACCAACGACAAATTCTTGTTCATTCACCGACACAGGAACGTGTAAGCAGTCGCGTTACTCACATTTTCTTCAGCGGATCAAGATGTGGGGCGCTGTGTACGATACCATTTTAGCCCGGAGTTTCTGCGCCTTAAGACAGTGGGTGCAATGTAAGGAAAATTTCACCGCATTTCTGACAAGCAGGGTCGAATTTTCAGTAGGAGATAATCCAATTGAGGAATTCCGCATGATTGAGAACCACTATTTTCGGAAAAAGCTGTTGAAAAGTTTTGACTTCAACTTTGGGTTTGTCATTCCAAACTCATCCAACACGGTTGAACATATCTATGAGTTACCGAAATTGTCGAACAAGGAAAGTATGTTAGTATACTTGGAGTAATCCGTGGCGTTTCAGTCAAAGATATGGTCTCAAGCCCATATGAAACACAATCTGACAGCTTCTACTTCGTGAACGGGGTGCTAGTTATGCACAACAAGGCATACTACGCTTACAACAAATGAAGTTATGAAGAAGGCATTAAGGTTTCACCGACACCAGTGCTGATTGTGCTATTTATATCTTGTTCAGGAGACACTAGCATGATATTTTAGTTCATTATGTGCGAATTTATCTCCCTGATGCACGGTGACTACTGTAAGTGCAATGTTGTGCATTCCAACATCTCTTCCGTCTGACTGAGGCAGTGAGCTTTTATCTTACCGGTTGAATTGCAATAATAAAATTATTCTGACGGAGATTGTTACAATTTCTGGCTTGGTTCACGGCTTCCGATTTCATAACGGAAAACCACTTGTCCCATCCACACCTATTCTCGGAGTCGAGACGAACATACGCCATGCTATCTTACTTAGTAAAACCAGCGTGGAACTAAGTGGTGACCAACTGTCTGACTAACTCTCACAGGTGGCAAACATTAGGCAGCGCACTTGCCTACTTTCTACCCAAAGTACGAAGAAGAAATCCTTCCTTACTGGTGTATGATTGTGAGCCTCATTATTAACTCTAACTCACAGATTAGCCCAACCACTCTGAGAAACTTTACAGCGCTTAAGCGCCTGAAGAGTGGCGTAACGTCTGATGTTATCCTCCGAAAATGATTTGCTGATCGTTTCCCTATGTTGTCCGCTAGCTTCTGTTTCTATTGCACAAAAAATACTGATTTTCTGATGATATTAAGTCTGGGGAGTGATCAGTGGCGTTTGATTGTAGGGGCGGCACCATTTTGTATGTGGTTGATCAGGATACCGTTGTTCCGTTCGCCGAGCTTGGCAATTAGCTTACAAAAGCTTCGTCACTATTTAATGCGTTCACTGGTGTCACCTTGACTGATAGTGAAACCCTTTAAGCTGACTGCCGAACTCGGTAAGATAAGCAGCCATCTGCTCAGTCCTTTGTCAGTGCACCCGAGATACACATCTTTCGGTGCACTTTCATCGTTGTTTCTGTTTAACGATTATTACTGTACGCGAAATTCTCGAAACAGGACATCGAAAGTGATTCCACGCGTCTCGCATTACGTTTGAGTTTTTAGAGTGGACGATTACATTTTTCTGTGCCCCTCTAAAGTAACAGAATCGGCAGCCCGAACTTAGTGATTACTTTGTGTACACTGAAAGCTGCATAGGTCGTAAATGTACCAAAAACTAAATCGGTGGAGAATAAGTAGTGGTGAAAATTGCTAGCATGCGCCGGTCTTGGAATTACAGCAAATGCTCACGGCGCCAGAAAGCCGTTTACAAAGTGGAACAGTTCGAGCGGTCTTGTTATATGCTTGCTAGACCTTGCTGAACCAATCCAAGAATCGTGGATGCCTTCATAATTCTGACCACTGCTGTCTTCGTAGTCTAGTAGGATCTGGCTGGCTACGGTGAATACGCGGTGCACTGATCCTTGTGAGGGCACTGGGTAAACAATTCAATTCGTTGGACAAACCGGTTGAACGCATTGAACGGCTTTGGTTGGGACATGTATTTCATACATCTAACCTTTGTCTACACAACGAGATGTTGCTTTCTCCTTCATGCAATTGCTGGAAAGAGATTTGTGCCGAACTGGTGATGACATTGGTACACTCCAACTGAGTTCCGTGAGATCTCTTCGGTGTCCTAGCTTGGCTTAACTCTACCCCCCTTGGATATAGCTATGGACCCCAAAGAACATGGTAAAACCACTGACCACAGTGGCGCGCATGTTGTCATTTCCTAATGGGGCGACCTTGCTTAAATTTTCCTGCCGTTGTGCGTTAAGCCTATTTGGCGATGTTCTCTAAAGGCATTGGATTATGACACTTTCGATTATCGTGACATTCGAACGTGTTTAACTTAATCCTATTTAAATTATACTCATTTAATAACAAGCTTTTTCCATGGTTTTATGGCACTGGAACGAAGGCGAATTGTTGCTCTATTGCCCTTAATCACGATAATGGTGTTCATGGTCGACAACAAAGAAGGTGAATTTAGGACAGAATGTCTAAAAATTTGTGATAGCCCGGCGCAAAACCGGTTTTTGGACACTATTGTTCATATCAGAGGGGGCCACATGCGTCATCGGTGCACTTTTTTCTCTTAGTGCGTTTTCAGCTCAGACACAATTGTCTTTCTGCCAAGTCCCCACACGGGTTTACATAGAGACTGGCCAGAACGATTTATTGCTGGCCATAGGATTCTTGCTGTTAGTTGATCTTTTATAATCCTGGTACCATTCTAATGTCCAAGCTCTATGATATCCGATTAAGTTTGGCCTGAAGCCTGTCCTACCCCTTCATAGCTTTCTGTCCGTTTACGCTTATGTTAATGATTTCCTTGGGTTGCATAGCATTAAGTTAGTACTGAAACTACAACAGAAGTTTTCTATCACTACTTGGGAAAATGCCTGACACGTGTCACATGTGGTGTGGAAAAGCAACTAAGATGGAAACGACCAAACGCTTTGACCTTTTTCGGCCGGTACATATTTTGCGTAGGGTGATCACAAGTTGCAACGATATGAGGTGCACACGTTGATGACACTGCTTTTTGTTCCTCTGTTTTGCTGCCTGATTGACTGCTAGTCAACTTTGGCTTTCTGGTAATAATATTTCCTCGAGTTTCTCCAGGTCTATACAGCACCTTATTTCCTTGCTAGATAGCATCTTTGAGCCGTACCCACTGTACGTGTGCAGTCCAGCAAATGAGACCGAGTGATCACCTGTTATTTGTTTACTTACAGTTTTTGGAAATTACACTATTCAAATTTGTGGAGGTTTACCACCCTCGCCTAGAGTTACTTTTGTCTATCAGAAGATAGACATTACTAAAACTGAAAGATATGTGATACCATAACATGCTATAAACCAGAGGAAGGTTTGCCCTAAGTGTTCCCACCATTTTGGTCCTACCACCCAAAATGACACAGTGCTCAGACACTGTGTTTCGTCAAACAATGCTTGACACCGAGTTTATGTCAAATGCATTAAGCTTTAGAAATTTCATTCAGTTTGTTGATAGAGGGGGAACTAAATTGACAAGAGGAGCGTTTTCGTGTTTCTTTTACTAGACTAGCTGTAATTACAATACAAATGGAGCATATCCCAGTCTAAAACTGGGTCTATTCCGAGTTGAAGTTGCTCTCATTTTCAAGGCAACTGATTTATATGTCTTGCATTCTGGAAACATTTTGCCTCGTTGCAGCGTCTCGTTTATGAGTTAACGTTCACTTGTTAGGATTGCGCTTAGTAATGTTGATACTGATGCAATAGATAATTCAAATCCGTGAATATCAACACACTGGCTTGCAAATTCTCCCCTGTTTGTCACGATTTTTGCCAGAAAGTCTATCAACTCGGAGTTTGCCTCGGTACGTTCCGTTAAGTCATTGTTGGTCTCAAAAAGGATGGCCTGCTTACTTATTTCCAACACATTCCATTTAACTATAGACATAAGTATGCAGGCAAGCAAGGAAAAACACCTTTTTTCATGCCTATTATCCAAGCATTTACAAAACCATATGTATGAACTGGGTAACCAAAATAAACTTGTTTTTGCCGTCGCAGCTATAATGTGCATCCAGCTGTACAAGTGTGATATTTGTCCACAAAAGAGATTTACACACTGAAGTTAAGCCAGCCAGCCAAAACAGGGTTATTCTCCCTGATAGAGCTTAGGTCTGAAGTTTTACCATGAATGACTTGTAATTTCTTTCGTGATCCGACACTTTACAGTGTACCATTCTTTCACGTACCTTTTATATTAGCCATCACCTCCTTACGCGTGTGTTGTAGAAACTTTTGGATCACGCGCAGAAAACTGGTGTACTTTAAAATTACTCCGTGTATCTGCCGGTACGTTCGGGAGCTTGGAAAGGTTTAGTCCGAGTAGCAAAGCTCCGGTGTTTTTGTAGTCCTTGACGTTTTTTTGCGTTCATTATACTTCTTCATTTATGGACGAGTGGTTATTAGCCATTTAAGAAGAAGCCAGCTGAATCAGAAGTCAGTACTGGTGACCAGTTGTGCTCAATAGTACCGGAGTTTGAACTTGGATCTTCAAGATTTTTAACGACACCAAATACTTAGTGCCGAGAGTATGGTTAGTGAGCGAAATTTAAGTGATCCATTGCATCCAAAATCATCGAATTTATTGACGGAGGGGCTAGTATTGGAAGAAAAGTGATTCATTGCCGTACAAACATTTCAGGTTATTCGGAAGAAGCGCCGACATCCAAACTAATGAAGGCGGGAGAGTGAAAGTGCATAGCCTAAATGTAGGAATTCTCCACAATTCAGTTAGTCAGATGGATATTCTAGATAAAAACTGACAGCACAACTAATTTCGGTTGTCATTAGTCCTCCTCTAATTATTCTCTACCAGAACATTTCAACATCCCGCACTTCATCTATTGTTCACTGTTCTGTGAATTCTTGATGTGGATACTCTATTCTTTCGCCAAAAGAGATGGCCTAGTAGTATTCATCCATGTACCCATGCCGCTTTACGTTCACCTTTGGTCCTTTCTTCTATGTTTTCGCCACGGTCTTTTGGATGGGAATTCTTCGCCTCTTGATATTATTTTTGCATGCCGACAAAATCTTATGCGATGATAGCATTTGCTCTATTTTTCTGCGCACCATTGCTCATTACGATTTACTTTGCCAATAACATAGTGCCATTTTTAGGCATTTCACTGACTATTTCTGTCCCTATAAGCAAGCTTCGAGGTGAACATGCCCTCTTCACAAATGACAGTTATGATAGAAAATGTTCCACTTAAAAAGGAAAACTACCTGCACACTTAGATCCTTCGTTAGAAGCAAAGTTCCTGTAAGTTTTGGCAACTGGCTTCGTTACATCTTTTAGGACTTGTTTCAGTCAATTCCAGACATAAATGCTATTGTGCATATACATGTGCAACAGAAGAGTGTTTTTTTCACATCTACTGTTGATGAACTTTTTACTCGCCTTGCACACAGGTGGATATTAGTAGTCATTGCAAGCTTTGCTTTGTCACTGAGGAGTCGACCGAT